TGGAAAGTGTATTTCAATGGCAAGGCCAATCATACATTACCCACATGCACATGAATAGGATTTGTTAGGATACCAGCATGCTAAGCTGCAAAGTAGTTATTTTTCATGTTTTTATGATAGAAATAAAATATTATGCAATAACTAACTGCATTGATACACTACTACGTGTGACATCACACCATGAAATACAATTTTGGAATTTATACAATAATTTTCTAAACTGCAAAGTTATTTACAGTAACAGCAAATACAGAAAAATGAAAAAGCACAATGTAACAGTATCAGTTTTTGTATAACAATAAAGCTTTAACAACTTATAATTCTTTAAAAATTGAACAACTTGAGTTAGTCTTCTTTTATTTCACATATCCATAATTTCGTACAGATTACTATTTGACTTGGCTATAGGATTCTCAATTGTGTTTGTTTGTTTGTTTTGAATTTCGCACAAAGCTACACGAGGACTATCTGCACTAGCCGTCCCTAATTTAGCAGTGTAAGGCTGGAGGGAAGGCAGCTAGTCATACCACCCACCGTCTACTCTTGGGCTACTCTTTTACCAGTAAATAGTGGGATTGACCATCACATAATAATGCCCCCATGGCTGAAAGGGCGAGCATGCTTTGTGTGATGGTGATTCGAACCTGCAACCCGCAGATTGCAACTCAAGCGCCCTAACCACCTGGCCATGCCGGGCCTTCTCAAGTGTGGCCCTAAAGTTACAAACTGGATTAGCCAAACTGCTACAAAATTTAAAATAAAGTTAGACCATACACTACATAATTCACTGAAACAACAATGAAACAGCAAAACTTTTTTTTTAAATAAACCTTTTAATTACATTTTACTAATTCTAGGGCATAAAGGAAACTTACATCAGGAGTGCATTTTATTTTTAGAAATTTTGTCCAACAAGTGGAAATTTTTTTCCACAGTAATTTCCAGAACTCTAAATTAATCAAACTTTATTTATTCAAATAAATACATTTTGAAACAAGGAAAAATCTAATAAAATAATGCTTTAAAGGAAACTGATGTTGACGTAAATATTATTTTCACTGTAACTAAATAGTACAAAAACGATAAGTCACTACAACACCAACCTTCTGATTGCTTCAAGCAGTAGATTGACCAGGCTATCTTTCAAGGGCTCTATCATATTACGTTTCCACAGATCAAGGCCTAGCTGTAAAACTCTTGAACATCAATATGTTTGATACAAAGTATATGCATATTAGATTATCTTTTCAATTTATGCTTCCATAAACATAAAACTGTTCTAAGTTCAAAATCATGCTGCATTGTACACCAACCTGCTCTAACACAAATGACATAATATATATTTCAATACCCATACACTAAAAAAAAGTTAATAAGTTAAAAAGTTAATCTATAATTACAATGATTAACAATTAAGTAAGACTTTTAATAACAATGATTTGGTTCTTTATACCTTTAGTAGTTTTGCGTGAACCACTAAATACTGGCCTGCAAACAATATATTATGTAGATATTTTTCAATAGTATCATGTCTGTGCCTAACAATCAAAACTTAAGTCTATTTGACTATATTATGTTTCAATTCTATGAAAAAAAGTATAATTCTGATTCATCTTAATCTTTCATAATGAAAGTGAAAACCTATGTACAGTAAAAACAACTAGGCACACTTCATACACTCAGTGACCTATAATTTGTGGACACAGTTGTTAAAACAGTCAATATTAAACACACTTCATAATAACAAATAAGCTCTAAAGTCTCAGTTTACTGATATTAAAAATTAAGCAACATTACAAACTATTGAATTATGAATGCCTGATAATGTAACAATAAATAAGGTTATCCCACAACACGTCCACAAAAAGATTAAGGTAATTAATCCAATGTTAAAATCAAATTCACATTTGTTATTGTTTATGAATTGAATTAAGCAGTACTACAATGTCAGTTAAATGAATTATTATTGCAATAGCTTCTTTAAAAAAGTAATGCTGAAAGTTTTAACATAGGATTAAGAAAAAGACAACAGTAATATATCATCTAATTATTTGTAGCGCTAGATAGTTTTCAAAATTAGCATACATTTCCTTATAAAAAATTAAACAAAATAAACTTTGTTTTGACCTACAAACAATAAATAAGAACCTACAAGTTTAAAATTATAGAGATCTCTTTCAAAAGCACTATCTAAGTAAAATAAAAAACAAAAAATATATACAGTTTTGAGAGAATATGACAACATATGGGTGCTCATGTGCAAGGAGTATATTCAAACAGACTATTACAGACCAATCATTTCCTATCCTATTTAAAATGCACAAAGTTCAATTTTAGAAAAGTGGCATTTTGGATAAATCTAGAGCAACCAAAGAGTGATTCTCTTTAAATAACGAAAATTTGCATAAAATCTGATAAAAATAGTTTGGATGAATTTGTAACAGCTCTTGTTGCATAGTTAGAAAGCTAGAATTGTGATAGTTATGGGACACTGTCTGATTTTTTGCATGTTATTATTCTAAGTTTTTTGGTGCATTATTTAATTAAATAAAAATTATTTAGTGCACTAGTACTGTTAGCAACAAAAAGTAGGGTTAACTGTCATCAACAGTCGATAGCAAAAAAGAAGGTACAGGTTTTTCATGTGTATTCTTTAATTATTATTTTAAAAGTAAATAAAATGTAAAAATAGGAAACTCTTCAGGTTAGTTAAGGTTATATTAGGTAAAATAATTAATAATACAATAAAACTTTTTCACGAGGCATGCATGCGAGCAGCTCAGATTAGCTCGTGGTAATGTAATTTGATAGCATAACATGAGCCCCACATTCTCCAAGTGACTTGCAACTTATAATGGTGCATTTAGTAGTTAGACATGAATTCAAAGGGTAATAAAACAAAAACATTTAAGTATAAATAGATGTGTACTGTTACAAGTTTAAAGCTACTTAGGATAAACAAATATAGTTTCATGTTACAATTTGAAGTCATTATTGACAAAAAGGGGGTAATATAGATTTATTTAAATTTTTTTTGGTGGTTACAAGGTCAGTCAAATTAACCAACCTTGTATAGAGTTAGGATAGAGAAAATAACAGATAAAATATAAAGTTTTTCTGGAAACAAACAATTGAAATGTATTTAGAAGGTTTTAGAGATTACGTAAATTAAATTTGACATTTTTGAGATGAAGAAAAGTATTCTTAATTTTAAAAAGAAAATCACTTTACACTCAGACCAGTAAAAAAAAACCATTATATTCACGGAAAAATCTTTTTTTCCATTTATTAAAAATACTTCACTAAAAAAAATCTGATTTTTTGTATGTAATGTTTACTGAAAGTCTGCCAAATTTTGTGAAGATACTCATACTATATTAAAAGTTAGTAATATCAAAACTATAACAACTTTAAATGAGTACAAAGTGTTCATGTGGTCAGTCAATTCGACTGAACCAACTGAAGTAAAGCAGATGAGTATGTTGTATTAAAATGATTCTGGAGCCTCACCACTTCATTACAGTCCATGTTGCCACATTTGGTCATGCTATATTTGACAACCATGCACCTTGCCAATAGCTCTTCAGTACAGTTTCCATGTAAAAGACACTTTCCAAAGCTTACCACTACCCTCTGGTAGTTTCCATAATACACAGAGTGTACAAGGACAATGGTTTTCAAGCATGTTTCAACAGTCCAATTGCACAGAAATACATAGGAGACGTATCTGGCAAATTGATCAGTATGTCCTCAAATGGAATACCATGAATATTTTATTCACTCCTCAGCTGTTTGAGGTATATGATGGTTGAACTAAATGAATGACTGGAAGCCATATCGCTATGAAATTATACCCTGTTGGCCTCATTTCCTGATGGAGATCCTTCTTGATTATGTTGCGTACTGTTGTCTGGGACATGCGGACAGTTTTGTCACTGATTTTTGTGTTTATGAATTTTCACCTGTTACAAGACATTTCACTTTGCTTACTATGGCTTGAGTGCAACTTTTTGTACATCTCTTTCTAGATGTCCTAGTGATCCAAGTTGATCCATATTCTTTTGTCTACCCATGCCATAAAGTATAAGGGATATCCTCATCTTGGGAATTCTAAATCTCACATTTTAATACGTGTGTATGATCTCAGTTCATGAATAATTTGTCTTAAAAAGGGCTGTTACATACCTTTCCCAAAGGTGATAAATTTATATTAGTATCACACTACCTATGAAATGCCAAATAATGTCAGAATTACATTCTGACAGATGCCATTACACTGCAACATAATATTGATTGTGGCTATCATATGGCTTACTAATTTGCATACATAAGATTATTCTAATATTATGTACTAAATCCTCTATTTAAGTATCATTTTGTATTGTCTTGAAATCAACTATTATATGCATTAGGGGTAATTTGTGTGTTTCAACAATAATCCGTAAGAAAATAAAATTATCAATGTGCAGGAAATTATGTTATGCTGATGTGATAAAATATTTTTTTAAGATGAACATATTACAAAAAGTGAGAAATTTTTCATTATATGAGTATAATTTATCAAATTAGCTTCTAAATCAAAAATATATTTTTTAAAAGTGAATAATACATACCTCCCCGATTTCAAGCATCTGATCAGCTGGTTCTAAGCAACCATAAATTAAATCTGCATCACTGAATTTCTGTTTTCGAATATGTTGCGTATTTAAATACCTGCAGAAATGTACATTCAAACACAAATAATGAAAACTACATCTCTTCAAAACCTTTTTTTTTTTAAATATTAAAAACTGGTATGTTTTACTTTGGGTAAAGCTACATAAAGGCTATCTGCATTAGCCATTCCTAATTTTGAGGTGGTAAAGGGATGACAGTTAGTCAATGACATCTCTTAGGCTATTTTAATCAAATAGTGGAATTTTACCATTACTTGTATAATGCACCCATGGCTCCAAAGTGTGGGACACAATTTTGCAGCAATAGGATGCACACCATTGATCCATAGTCCAGAAATTAACCCCTAGGCCATGCCAAGTCCAATATTAAAGATAAATACCAAGAAGATTAATATTGGTCAACTAAATAACTGCTGTTCAAGATTCAACAGTTATGTTTGATAATAATAATGTCTAAAAAATAGATATAATGATTCAATTATACACAAGGTACAAAAGGCTTTTCCTTTTCCATCAAGTATTAGGTAACAAAATAATTGAAACTGCTTGTTTTTCCAATGTAATTAGTACTAGTCTTTATCTTCACTTTAACAAAATCTATCCTGCAACAACTTAGATACTTTTAAGTTACTGATTCTGTTACTGTAATAGAATAACAATTTTATGAAACAATAACATACAAAACAATTTGACATACCAGTTTAAATATGCAGCTATTGTAGAACCAATGTATGAGTGGGTATATACACACAGAAACATATTTGTAATTTTTCTCTAATTTCTTGACTTTAGTATCATCTTTACTGTGATGTACTTACATATACAGCTTGTTTAGGTAATTGACTCCTTGACTGTACTGTAACCAATGTTTGTGATAAGCACCTAGAAGTCCTTCTTCAGAATTTGCAACTAACTGTAATTTAAAACAATAATCATGATGAAAAATCAATGATATGATATTATGCAAAAATCACTGGTGTTTTAGAAAGCTTAAACATAATTTTAAAAACATGTTAAAATGCAAATATCTCAGAAAGAAAACAATTATTAGAATTTCTTTATCTCTAACAGCTATTTTAACTATTTTGTTTTGTGTTTTCAGGTATTATATATTTTAATTTTATTATTATTATTATAAATGTACATTATTATAAAAGTAGAACATTTTACTGCATTACACAAACCACTTATGTATTCACAGATGTTAATAAATGAAAATTTGAACACATATAGATTTTCTATTAGCAATTATAAAAGATATGAAAATCATAAAACAATAAGTTCTGAATTTAAATATTTACTACCAGATGATCTTCTGTATATTTACATGAATTAATCATTAACCCTTTCCCCATTGAAAATACTTAGTATTTCAAAACAAAGTTGAAAAAGTAATTTTTTCAATCATCTTCCAGACAGAACAATAAAGCTGAAACTAATTCTTCACTTAATATTCCACCACTCAAGGACCCAAATTCAAATCGACCAACTCCCCTCGTCAATCAATGCATATTTTGTACCGTTAGAAAACTGTCTGAAAACATGTTAAATTCCTCTTTTCATACATCTCCCATGTGTGTAAAGTTCAAATTTTATGCACCTATTGAAAAGCCATGTTCATTAACTAATTGTGGTAGAAAACAAACATATATGTCTATCTTAATTTCCTTGCATAAACATGTATACAACCATCAAACAAATTATTCTGATAAAATCATTTTCAATAATGATATGATGTCACCATCTTGTTAAACACGATACCTAACCACTTAGTACTTTTGTAATTTGGCTTTGTACTGTGTGTTATGAATTATAGTGTTTCTATTTACATAATTTTTATTTTATTGCAGTGTCCATTCCAGGATTCTGAAAGTGAGGAGGGGAAGACATTTTTCTTTTAAGGACAAATGGAAGGAACCTTTGTTTGTTTTTGAATTTTGCTCAAGGCTACACCAGATCTATCTGTGCTAGCTGTCCCTAATCTAGCAGTGTAAGACTAGAGTGAAGGCAGCTAGTCATCACCACCCACCGTCAACTCTTGAGCTACTCTTTTAACAAAGAATAGTGGGATTGACCGTCACATTATAATGCCTCCATGGCTGAAAGGGCAAGCATGTTTGGTGGGACGGGTATTCGAACCTGCGACCCGCAGATTGCGAGTTGAGCTCCCTAATTGCTGGGCCCAGGTGGGTAAGGAAACAAGCAAGTAACATGATTTAATACAAGCTAATTAGCTAGGTAATAAAACTATGGCCATATGATTTAGAGTTGAATGAAGATGCAGGCACAAAGAAAAAAATTGTTTAAAAGATCCAGTTGCTTATTCTTACACGTGAAAACTGGTAATTGACTATAAATTAATTCTAAAAGTAGGGTACACTGAAGAACAAATGCTCTAAGTGAAAAGGTTAACATTCTAATTATTGCCCAATTGCACTTTACAACACATAAACGAGTGTATTAAATTTTATTGCACAGCTAAGTTTTAGGTAATTTTGACTTACCATTTTCAGTGTGAAATTTTCTTTTTTCATTACTTTGACCACCCAACTTTTAAGACATTTTGCTTGTATGGAGACACATATCAAGTCAGAGGAATAACATTAGCAAAGGCATTGTTCAATTGGGACCAAACAAAACTTCTATTTCATTTCCATTTAATCAAACTTTGCATCACATGTGGAGATAATTTTCTCTCCAGCTGTTGTGGCACAATTCAATCAGTGTTTTCAGTGCAAATTTTTGATTCTGCAAACTTTTTCATCTAAGATTCTTTATTAATTCTATCAATTACTTAACTAGTTTGCAACTTCCTGAAGATTCTTGAGCATAAAATAACTACTATGAGGTAATACAATACTTCTGAAATACATTTATTTCCAAAGAAAATAATAACAGTTTATTTTCATTACATCATCACTGGTCTAAGTGAATAGCTTTAACTGAAAATATTACAGACCATAACAACTTTTTCTGCTCATTCAAAGTTTCTGTCAGTCCTTATTTCAAGTCACTGAGAAAATACTGTTCAACTTGAAAGAGAGAGCATACATTTACTACTTTTTTAACAGTTGGATGCCTTGCAAAGAAAATAGAATCCTTATGTCTGGAAATAAGAATACAATACCCTTTCCATCTTCACCTATTAATTAATTTGCAATTTGTGCTATTTGTAGCCCAGATGTTAAGTTCAGTAAACCTTGGCAATCCACAATGGTAAAGTTCTCTGACATAATCTATAATTTGATTTTCTTATAATTTACTAATTTTTAATTAAAGAGAACATTTAAAGTGAAAATAAACCATACTAAAATGCAAAGCATAACTATTTTCCTTGATTTGTTTTCCAGATGGTGCATTTATAGCAATAATGTTCTGGTGTCTTTATTCACAAATTATACACATTTGTTCATTCTGGCCAGGCTCTTTGAATTTTTTTTTGTAACTTAAAGTTAGCATGATCTGTCACCTATTCAACTTCTTTTAACTAATATATCTCCTAACAAACTCTCAGGAAGTAGTTTCAGTGGTTTCAAATAAACATAACAGCCACTAAGAGAAGAAACAAACCAATTTCTGCAGCATTATGCTAATTGTTTTAAGTTTAAAAGGTTTAAACAAGCTATCCTTGCCATTAACTAAGACTGACTAACTTCAGCTAGCTTTCCCAGAAAATTGAATTTCATGGTTGTTTATCCACAGTTTGCATATTTTCTTACTTCTATCCGTGACTTATTCTAAATTAGATTCTTTTGTTGTTTTTTTTCAGGTAACTGGCAAAAATTCAAGGATTTTAAAATCTATTATCTCAGTCTTCAAATAGCATCTTCTAACAAAACAAGTATCAGAATTGTGCAATATGCCTATTAATGAACAACTGGCACTTATTTTCATGATGAATGTTTATTTTCTATAGACTGTATACCTTGGCAAAGACCAAAGTAGCAACAAAAACAGAATCAAAAGACTCAAAGCAACAGCACAAGAATCAACCAATGAAACAAACAGTAATGTTACCATCTGAAAACAAAAAACTATTGTAAACAAATAAAAGGTAGAACTCACACTTACGGGGTGGAGCTTGTTTTTTTGTCCATGCCATCGAAAACTAACATGCCAAAAAAAAATTGCATCCTATCTTCTGGAAGTTGTGTTAAAAACACTTAACTATACTTTGTTTGCACAAAATTAATAGAATCTTGCCATTTTGTCAAGATAAACACTTTTCATTGTGTAAACATTACTATATATAACTCCATGACATTTTGGCTTGAATCTGATAGTTGTGAAAATGAGGTTTCCCTGAATCATTTCCTGTTTATGATTGATGCTTTGTCACTTGCTCTATATGATTCATTTATTTGAAAGTTTTTAAGAGAATAAAAAAAAGTCAATACATATGACCAATTTTCCTTTGTTTCATTGTAGTTCAACCTAAAGAGCATCAAATATATTGTTCATTGATTTTAAGAAATACAAACTTTGTATTTTGAGTTGTTTGCATGCATGCATAAAGCATCTGTGCACTGAACACGAATATTCATCACTGAATACAGATCCACACTATATCTCATTCAAAACCAATAATAACTTATGTGGTTCACCAGTAAAACAACAATATGTCTAACATTTAGGATTGACTGGTATTGAGTTTGATTTGTAACTCATAGGATTATTGCTATGCTAAAAATTATGCTGATGGTTTTTTTAAACTGATTTTGAAAAATATTATTAGGTTAATAATTTTTAAAAAATATGCAAGGTTTAAATCATATAAGTTGCAGAACTGGACTTCATTAAAATATTTTTCATTTTTAATACTTAAATATATTTTATTAATTTGAATTCAATGTAACAGTAACACTCTCCTCCTCTGGAAAGGGTTAAGACCAATGCACTTAGTACACAAACACAGAAAAATAAATACATCTAATTAAATACTATGTTTTTTGTGTGTTTTATAAGTACTAGTGCAACAATTACTGTTCTGATTGACATATTATTTTCAATGTTGTACAACTTCACACACAAACAAACATTTATGGACATATAATAGTTCATATAACACTTTATACAGATTTATATTTGAAAAAATAATAATAATAATAATTACCTTATAGAGGTAACGTACGTGATGATCAAGGAATTGCTTAGTTTCTTGATACAATCTGTCTCCCAAGGGTTCAGGAAAAGCCACACACAGGGCATAAACATCAGTTATAAAAGTCAAGGATTTTTATATTCATCAATAGCAAATTTTTTTTATTATAATTTAAGAACAATATTTCACATAACTGATAAAAATTTCCAACTGTAGATAAATGAGTGAAAATTTGTTTTGTTTTTATTACCAGACAATAAAATGCACCTTTTGCTACAGAAACCTGGAATTAATGAAATAAAAATAAAAGACAGTTTTTTTTTTATATGTAACTATAAACTCTTTTTCTGAAGTTGAAATTATGCAAAAAAATGTAAGAAGACATAGCAACAAACCATTAACCTGGAAATTATTATATATTTACAAATTCTTTTTGGCATATACAGTACCAACAAAATTGCCTACTCAGGTACTTGCCATAAAACAGCTTCGGTAAGGAATTTTAAAATTTTTTTCCTTTCAAAAAAATAATTAATTTAAACAAACAAAAACATCAGATGGAACTTGTGATTTAGTTTGACACACTTGAAATTTCATTATACATTGCCCAATATTCAATTTTTAACATTAGGAAACAGCTGTACGACACAGATATGAATTTTTCACCTTTAAAGCAATATTTACCCATATTGAGTATGTGTCATATCCTTTGAGATTACACATTCAAACTTTTTATCACTTTATCAGACAGTTATAAATATTAAAAAAGTAATAAATAATCCATTCTAATATTAAAATATATTATGCAGGGAAGCTTATGCTATTATTCTTGAACATAAGTACCCAAAATGACTTAATCCTGATAGTATTGAAATGTATTATGCAGGGAAGCTTATGCTATTATTCTTGAACATAAGTACCCAAAATGACTTAATCCTGATAGCTAGAACTTTATTATATACTTCACTGAAACATGGAAGCTCAGAAAGTTCCACATAATTTTGAAATGGCATTTCTGGAAGTGGAAAGCAATATGTTCTTACCTGTACCATTGCTTCTATCTATCTTTACTGACAATGCCAAATGTTTAAATATTATTTTAAATATTCCCTGTATCCTACCTTTCTATTACGATCTTAAATGTATTTAGCACTAGTACTATGATATGACAGAATATGACTAGCTTATACTTACTGCAGCAGGAAACATTTGCACAAGCACTAAAGACAAGTGTAATGAAGCAGAATTAACATAAAAACATTCGAAACCTTAGAACTACAAGGAGAATGATAAATTTAATAGAAGATAAATGTACTGATTTTGAATTATGCACATTAAACAACAATTACATATTAGTAGCAACAAAAAGTGCTTAAAAGGAAGGAGCTACATATATTTAAGATCTCGGTCAGTGAGAAATACCAACAATGGGGCTATCACGCGCACTTTTTTTAAAAGTATCAAAAATAAACAGGGAAAATAAGCAATAGGTGGGGAATGGTCTAAAAAGGCAAGAGCAACTTTCAGGAATTTAAAAATCCTTTCTAGTTATGAAGAAATAAGTGAAAATGATTGGCTACTTTCCAACTTCCCAGAAATTCAAAGGAAGGATTCAGAAAGCTTTGATTTTAGCAAATATTAAAGTTATTTTAGTTCCAATGATGTTATTAATCAATTTCAATGCTTAATTAGTCAAAATTAACATGTTTCAAATTTTCTTCTAGTACAGCTTCAATCTCAATGTCCAAATCTTGTAACCAAACATTCTCTTCAGCACACATTTCCATAAGAACATCTTGTTCTGCCTCTTCCTTCTCTTTTTTTACTGGCTTTTGGATCTTTTGCACTACTCCGCGTCTACTTTGGGGGATAAGATGTCAATGTTTTCCTGTACTATATAGCTGGAGGATCACAACATAAGCACATTTCACAGCTTCCTATCTTCTATATTTATGTTCTTCACATGGTCCTGGCCTTCTTGTAACTTTGGTCATACTTGTGCTGCTCAAAAATGAAAAATTTATTTCAAAACAGCTGAATTTTTTACATACAGCAGTGTTATCTGGATTTATGGTATTTTTTCTGCACAAAAAATGATTCTGTAATTTTAATTTTTTTCCAGCAAAAAAAAACTGTAATTTGGGGTGGGTTTCTGACTGACCAGGATCTTATAATATTATTGTTTTTTAGCAAGGCCACATTGGGCTATCTGCTGTGTCCACTGAGGGGAATCAAACCCCGGATTTTAGCATTATAAGTCCGTAAACGTACCGCTATCCAACAGAGGGACAAAATATTATAGAACTGTGTAAAAAAACATAAATAGAGGTTTCATTCTTAAGCCTTTCTTTACCAGGCACGCACACACACACAATGTAAAACTAGAAAAAAAACTACTTCTTAAATTATGACAAACATAATAAATCAGCATTATATGCAATGAAAATGCCATACAGTAGGGTTTAGTAATTTTATACCTTCATAAAAAAATGGAATAAAATCAATGGGCACAGTGTCAACCTCAGTGAGCACAAGGTTCCCGGCAGCAGCAACACCAGATCACACAGTCCAATAACAGATTTTGCACTAATGGGGAGGAGAGAGAGAGAAGGATTTGCCCACCCCAAATAATTTTTTTAAAAATTAAGATTTAGCTTAGGTGCCTAACTGGTATTTGAAAAGATTAAACCACAGTTACATCAAAATTAAGAACATTCAATTTGTTTGGAATAATGCAAACAAATAGAATGTTCTTAACTTGTTTGTGCTTAAAGTTGGCACTGCATGGAATACATATTTATCAGAAAATATCGACACTTATATGCTACATACATTATTATTATGATATTAGTTATTATATATTTCTTCAGAAAATGTCCATCCATTTTTGTATTCAGGCTAACAAACATTAACGACTGCTCACAGGTTTAAACACTTACTAAGAAAAACTCTGTCTTTCGTGCAGTCTTCAGAAGTTTGGTATACCTATATGTATTATTGTATACAGAATATTTGACAGAACAACACTAGAAAGAAAGCCTGAGTAAGAGAAACTACTGACAACTGCCAGGATTAATAATTTGCTTCTAAAAAAAGTGTAACACTAAACAATTCCAAAAATTCTGTGTAAGTATCCTTACTAACAAATGTATAAAACAATTAATAGGAAACTGTACATAGCTAGATAAAAATCTATTCTTTTTAGGTTTAAAACCTATGATAATATTTTGTTTCAATTATAAGTTGTTGTATTTTTTCTATTTCTTTCCTTAAAGTTATGAGTAGATTTTATTATAACAACTAAAAGACAAATCAATTATAAATTTACCTAAGTTTCATTTTTACAGATTTCAGTGATTTTATAATAATAAGTGTAGTACAAACATAAAATCACACATGTCACAACTAATCATTACAATATGAAAAAATAATTTTAAATTACTTGTTCGTAATGACTTTGAAAAACAAAAGGGTTTACAGCAGAGTAGACATTAACAAACTTAAAAGGCTTATTACATGCACTTCTGAGCTTCGTTTTGAGCAGATAAATCTTGGATTAGTCTGATCAAAACATCAGCAATTTATTTCTCCCTTTTACAGTTACTGACCTTGGTAAAACTGAGGTTTATAAAAAATAAGAAAGCTCTGAATATTTATGGTTTAGATTTTTATAGTGCTTAATGTCAGAGCAGATTTTCTGGCTTTCTAAATACCTTATGCTCTTTTGAAACTGGTCTACTTTGCTCTCTATACATACATATATTTTAAAAATTTCTAGAAACTAAGACAAATTGTACAAACAAGTATATGCAATAACTTCTACACATAAATACTAACTTATTATGAATTACTACAAAAGGATATGTGAATCTATCATTCCAAACAGCACGTGGCACCTTTCCTAATGTGATTACCCCTTCAACAGTGTTTTTTAGCTCCCCCCATGTGATATCAAAATCAACCTTCCTTGGCTTCAAAGACATCTTTTCATTGAGCCTAAAGGTTAAAAATAAATTGCACATCACTTAGTTGAAACATCAAAAATATAATATTTAGACCAGTTATTTAGAGTAAATCAATATAAACTAGTCCTCTCAAAGATATAAAGTGCCACTACAACATTCTTGTGCATAGTGAGTGGCAGAACAAAAGCTATGTAAAATAAATATGATACTTAAGAAACAGTAGTACTATCTTATATACCTCATATGGCCAAACTCTTAAACAACTGTGCTTATTTTAGATTCTGAATATTTTAGCAAGGTACAACAAACCCAAAAGAGTACTCTAAAGTCTAATGGAAGAAGGAAAGAGGGTGGAAAAGATGAGGACCCAGCAGTCAAGTAAAATAAAGTAATTAAAAATATAAAATGTACATAAATTCCCAACAAAATGTTTGCTCTATACCACAGGTGGTATTTTATGAACAACAGGCATGCTATATATTCTCCTCATGTACTGATGATAACAGGCTCAATGAGTAAGTTTTAATAGCTTGTTTGGTAACATTTTGACTACTGACATAGATAAAAGTTAGTACATCTGACAGAAATTATGAATATCTAATCAAAGTATTATTTTTAAAATATTAACAAATAAGATTTATCTGATAATTATACAAAGTATGAATAAGAAACCATTGCAGGCTTTAACTGTGATTTTACAGCCTTCTGTAAAAATATCAAAAGAAATATCTCAAAATGGTAGACTGATAATATTTTGTTTTTTTTACAATGGTCTAGAGGAAGATTTTAAAATTGATTTGCCAGTTAATTATCAATAGGGCTACACAGTCTGCTGGAAATACATTTTGAAAAGTGACTTTCACTCAAAAAACAGTCAAAATGGGTTCAAGAGACTTTGTATGTGTGTTACTAGCCTATTTGTAAAGTTTTTTGTCAAAACTTCTGCTTTTTGGATAAGGATTTCATACTGATGCCATAAATCTAAACATTTGACAAGATGCTTCATGAGAAGTTAATTAACTGAAGTTCTGAACTTCTTATAATGGATAGCTTGTAATGTCTCATAGTAGAAGACTGTGTTTTTTGTCGGTGGATTGTAATGGCTCGAATCGTCCCTGCCCCTGCAATCAATATGAGTGGACAGAGGTTACATGTGTGAAGCATAGTCCTGTGTAACCTAGCTCTTATATTATTGCTTTTTGTAGTATTTAAAGCCACGTTCTCTCCTACTAGGTATGTTTTGCTAACATCAAGATTTTTGCTGATATTTTGAAAACTTTTAGAATAAAACTTTGGATATAATGTAACATAACTTGGATTGAGCTTTTAGACTTCTCTAAGTATTTCATTTTTAACTCAGTGTGATATTTAGTTTTGTTTTACATTTTATTTTTGGTTTGTTTAGTATTTTAGCTCAACTGACAACAGGTGCGAGCTCACCATAGATTAATTAAAAATAGCTCACTAAAGTTCTCAACAGTTTTCTCTCTCTCACAAGCACAATACACCCACAATAAACATTTACCCTTATATGGACTTTTGTCAGTAACTGTTGTGTGCTAATACAGTTATACTGATACAATATGCATATATTTTTATTTATCACAAAATTCTACTCTGATAGTTCAATATCTGAATATACATTACATGCTTCATTTTCTTTACACTGTTGCATCATCGAGATCATGTGATTCTCACGCCCTCTACTTTCTAGAACTATCCTGTACTTTGGCAAATGCTCTAGTATTTACTAGATAGGGTAGTCTGGTATATATATAAGAGGGTGACAACGTGACGCGATAATGTAGTGTGTGTAGATAGTGAGTAATTGAACTGCAGTCAGAAGTATTGTAGACGTTCGTTGATATAGCGTTTGTTTTAGCGCGATTGTTGAAAATAAGTGTATCGTAAAGTTGTATTCGGAAAGAATAAACCAGTTTTATTAAGGAAGGACTTGTGTCGCTAAAGTTTTGTCGGAACGAAGTTACGGAAAGTTAATTAACAAACGGAGACATAACAACACCATCTCAAAAAATAATGTGAAAGAGTATAGTATATTATTTTGTCAACAGTTATACCTAATGTAATTGTATTTTCATATAAATTATCTTTGATGCAATATGCAAGTAATTTGGTAGTTTTTATTTCTACAAGTAAAACCTGCAAGTTTGTATTCCTCAATGAAGGTTTTAAACTTTACTGCAAACATATTTCTCATGTTTCATAAATTCTAAGTCTTGTTTAAAATCATTTAACAGTTAAGCCCACCAAATTTACATGGAAAATACATAGCTTAAATTTTAGATGTGTAGTATCAAGACATATTAGATGTTTTATACCTCATTATTTAATATAAACATTTTCAAAAATGTCTTACATACAGTGTATGTTGTTTAACATAAAACATTGGTCAAGAAAATAGCAAGGTTTTTTCATCCTAGTCACCTATTTTCTGAATCACTCACTTGTAGTATCATATGCACTTTCTCGTGGTAAAGATTTCTTTAAAAATGAACATAGTGTGTAAAGGAAACAGCAATGATTTCCACTGGCAGGTCAGGTGGTACCTTGAGGTACAAACCTCCATTACTTTTCAATTGGAGTGACCAACAGTGACATGGGTTATGCACATGTCCTGAGAAGAATGACACCATTATTTCATGTGTATAATACTATGTTTTCTTAGTCTGGAACAGTTCTTCACATAGTTCTACAGTATTTCCCCATAGAGAGCTCTCAAATTTTCAGTAAAGGCATAGTCTTTAAGTTAATACATTGAGTTTTTATTGTTTCATGTGTTAAACAGAAATTTTCACATAATTTTCTTTGTGTCGAGTTTGTTTTTTGCTCACAACTCAATCAAAAGTCAAAAAATGCATAACTATTTCTGTCAAACCTCTTGTTATTCTGCTCAACCTACCCAATTACTCAAAAAGAAATTGGTGAAATCTAAGAATACCACAACTGTAACAGCACTAGGGCTGGGTTGGAGTAATACATTTATCAAGTCATATGGAAGCCATGGGCTAGAACTAGAACTCACAGGATATATATGTGTGTGTACAAATCTTGAAGGAATCATGTAAAGAAGCAGATATTACATTTAGTTGATCAAGGATTTATCTGCTGATGGAAATCTCACAGTGTTAACATTACAACTCAATACTCAAAACATTAATTTGCTTATAATAATAATAATAATTTCTAAACTTGAAACACCTGCCATCATCAAATATTTCAGAAAACTATATAATGGCATGAATGAAAATTACTGCTGATACTAGCATCCTGGTATCAATTCATAAACCCTAGCCTCAGAAAACTAATGTGAGATGAAGTTCCAGTTTCAAACCATAGTTAAGGCAGATTTCTTAACACAATGATTTATTATATTAGCATCAATGTTCCTTCCACTCGGACTAAACCTATATACAAATTTAATGCGCACCGATTCATTATTTTGATGCCCAATTAGTGGTTCTAAAAGCAATCTGGACTGAGTGCATGGTAAATCAAGCCATCTATGTTTGTCATACATGTTTGTCTCAGAAGTTCTCTTAATGTACTGTATGTGTATGTTTTCAATTTAAGTTTGGCACCTTATACACGTTGTCAGCTAGAAGAGGCAAGATTGAGGTAACTGGACTGTGTTGTTTTTAGAATTTTGTTCAAAGCTATACATAGACTAAATTTGCATAGCTTTCTCTAATTTTGAACTGATAAAGAAGAGGGAAGGCCACTTGTCAACACACACACACACACATTACACCACAAACTCTTGGGTTCTCGTGTCTGACATATTGTGGAATATGACCATCACTCTCATACATTTGCATAGCTCCAAACTGTGGAGCAAGGTTTGGTGGCAGTGAGATACAAACCATGAATCCTCTAATTCACAGTCTGGACATGCTAACCACTAAGCCATACCCATCCAATCATGATGTCAGCTTATAGATGAGTCTTGAGTGAGCGGAGGAATGTCACAGTGCGTATACTAATCAGAGCGAGTAAGTTGCTTGAGAGTTGGCCCTTCTACCTAATAATTTAAGCCAAGAGTTCTTAGTTTAAGTTTTGATAGTGGTAAGTTCCTTAAGATTCCTTTTTTTAAATATAATTTTGATACTTGAACAAAAATACTGACATGTTATATATCTATAATACTTCAGTGTATCATATTGTAAGAATGTCTTTACTATGTAAGTTAATACATCAATTTATACAGTATATGTAATACATAAGTTTATTACCTTAATTTAGACATAGCAGATAACCAGAAAAGATTCAAATAATAATTTCATAGGGCATTATTTTTTAATGGATATAATTAGTCAATAGAAGGTATATCAAGTCAGACTACTAATCTTGATGCTGACCTTTTTTAGCCACAAGCATTTCCACCCTATAATTACAATACTTATATAACCTCATAAAATTTAGCTACACTTTCCTAATATCTTACTTATAGAGAAATGGCACAAAAAAAAGTCATCTTTATATCCACTTCTATTGTAAAAAAGGTATGAAATTTATGGTCAGACGTAAGATAGCAAAGCATTTGAAAACTTAAAATTTCATACAATTTGTATAATGGTTTTTAAGAAAAGTAATATAATAAATATCACTTCATTTCGCATACTTTGACTTCCAAAAAGCCTTGGGTATGGTGCTACAAAAAAAAAAAAAGAGCGATTAACATGCAAGCTATATGCTTAAGCAAAATAGTAAGTGAATAGAAAATTACCTTAGTGACAAAACAAAGAAGTGATAAATGGATGTTACTCTGAATGTGAATATGTAAATGGCCATTCTCTGCATTCTTGCACAGAATGAGCAAAAGACATCTAAAAATAAATTCTAAGCAATTCATTATAACGTGAGGTATGCACATGTTCAAATGTTAAAATATTCCAATATCTAATTGTCAGATTAGCTTACTGAAAAAAAGTTTGAGTTTGTTTTTGTGCAGTTACTTAGACGATGGAGAAAGGAGTAAGAAGTGAGTAAAGACAGATAAAAAGAAAATCTAAATATTAATGTTTTGTTTATGAAGGAAGAGAAGAAAATGAAGGGTTCACTGTGGTGAGCAATGAAAACCATAATATCAAAGCAAATCTATTCGAGGCACCAGAAATTCCATTAAACAGATTTGAGTTTTTGGTAAATCACAATGGAAAGAAAGATCCAGAAATAGGGGTTTCTCTAATTAAGTACTATGTAAGATTTGTATTTAACGAAAAGTGAAATTTATTTGTTCATTCTGAAGACTGTCTAAATTATCTGTAAAAGAAAATTTGTTTTGTACAGCAATGGCAGGTAAAGTAGGCTACATATTTGTTTACCAAAAATAAAAGATTAATTTTGTTACGGAGATGATGACTAGTTTTGTTGATAGCACTACAGAAGATGCTCTTTTTGTGACACATGTTGGAACAAGTGATATTAATAAGGGTAGATCTGAAGAGCTATTATGCAAATGCAAAGAGCTTGAACAATAAGAACAACAAACTCTTCAAGAAATTCCTCTTGTAAGGACCATTTACGAAATTTTAAACATTAAAGATTTTGTGTTCAGGAAGGAATGTGAATGGATGCACAAACTGGTTAGTTCAGTGAAGCAGACTGAAGTATTCAGCATTGATGCTTTAACTAAGAAAATCACATTGGAAGGGTTTGAAGAAAAAATAGTTAATTAAACTGAAGGTAACTGGATGAGAGAAAGCAAAAAGTTATTAATGAAATCTAGTTAAACTGGACCTTTTCCATATTTGAATTATTAACATTGATAAGGGCATAATTAGTAAATCAGCAAAGTATTCTAATTGCATTACACTCTAGATGTATTGAAAATGTTGATGTACTAGAGAATGACCTGGATCAAGTGGTAAGTTGGACAATTATCTGCAAGGTCATGCATTTGAATTATTATAATTTGGAAAAGACGTGTAAGGTAAATTCCCACTCAACAGCATGGCTCAAGAAAAGGCTCTTGGCATAGTGGTAGATAAGTCACTCAGGTCATCAAGGCAGTAGACTGTTGCTACATATATTAGTGTAGTTAATAGAATTTCAGGGTGTATTTACATATTCAGGTGTTTTCATAGGACAGGGGAGAAGCTTCTACGTAAACACAAAATCCTACTCCTCACCCCCACCCCTAATTTTTTTTTCTTCTTTTTTTACAAATTTGAGGATTTTTTTTCTAAATGATAACTTTTGGTGTAAAAGTTTACAATTTTAGACAGTGACATGTTTACAGGCCAAGCAAATCAAGCACTGCTTAGCTAATTAAAATTGGTTTTCAATCTAATAATGTAATGATTCTGTATTTCTATAATTGAAATTAAAAATCTTGACTTTCAAATGTTCGAAACTGTCCCTCATAGAATGAAAAAGTTTAATCTTCAACAGAATCACAACCAAAACTTCCCCTCTATCATCAACTTTAACAGCAAATGTTGAGGATGAAACATGAATCCCTGTACATTCAAGCAAAGCAGCAATACAATCTGCTTTACTGTTGTCATGGAAACAAAACACCATTAGGCCAAGTAACAAATAAAAACCTTACCTGATCAGTCACAAATAAAGCTTTTCTCGAGGAGCATGGTTTGATTTGTTTAATGTATATTCAACACACTTTGAGTGAATTACACTTTTCTTTATGGATGTCAATTGCTGATTATGTATTATTCTAATACATTTATCATTTAAAACAATTATAAAAGATGCATTTAACTAATTATTATTATTGAGCTCCATTTTATTTTTTAAACAACTGCTCACAATAGATGTTGTAGTTTTGGTTCAACTCACTGACCCATGCCATATCCCCCACCTCCAACCCCCCTGTGTATCATTGCTTTCTCCATCATGTTGTTCACTGCACATTACTGCTTGTTGAAGAAACTTACAGATGCAAATCAAGAGGTAACTATCTCTCCACACATATCACTAATTAGGCCTCACTTGGAATACTGCATACTGGTTTGGCTATCTCATCCAAGAAAGGATACTGTCTTACTGAAAAAGAGTTCAGAGGAGGGCTACTGGGATAATTCCAAGGAGGGAAGGGTTATCTTACAAAAACAGCTTAAGATCTTTCTTTTTCATGAGTAAGAGGTGAACTTACTTAAGTTTATAATATCATCCGAAGATCAACAGAATAAAGTTCAACTCTGAAGACAATAGTAAAAAAAAAAAAATTTAAAACAGAGACTAGGATCCAGTTGAAATCACTATACTTTTCTAACAGGGTAATTAACTTATCGTACAAGTTGCCATTGCCAGGAGTTCAAGGTGGCACCTTGCAAGTTTAATAGTAGTAGAGTGCAGGAACAACCTTGAAGAACCAAAAGGTCCCTCATTGTCCATATGTTGGCCATTTGGGTGTGTGAAGAGGTGACCTCAAGGCTCTATGTATCAAATGGCCATCAACATGTAGGTTCAACACATTAAATCATGCTCCAAACCATTACATAAAAAAAAAAAGAGAAATATTAAAATACGTTTTTTTGTTGTTGTTTTTTTTGTAAAATATTCCTAGCTTTTCATTATTATATAATGGTTCACTGACCTTGTGAAAAATATTTTGATATATTTAATGATTTTAAATTTATTATTTATGATTATATTTACCATACTTGTTTATTTATATTTTGATATATTTCCATACAACAGTACAATTTTTTATTTCAAATGAATTAAGCAATATTGAAACAAGCATGGTAATTATTATTATTATTAATAGTATGACATAGATCAAATTAAGATTATAACTTATAAGAAAGCAGATTATTCTTTGGTAATAATAAGATAGTAAAATACTTAATTTATATGATAAACGCACTTGGTCAAAGTTCTAACTGTTACTGTTATTAAAAAGACAGGTTAAGTTTAGTATCCTCTTTCAGATAATAATATTACAACACATTAATTTTGTAAATTAAAAATAGTAAATTTTCAAATCCATATTTATACCATAGCGACTTTTATAATTCAATTTCAATAAAGGACAAAACCCTACGGTAAAATTAATGTCAGTGTCACCTCATCCGCCCAATCTAAGTTAACCACTAATACCTTAGCAAGTTATATACTGTTTGTTACATCGGTTGTAAATTAGATTGTAAGATCTAACGTTAGAAAACTCGAGAAAAGCTAAGAAATTCGGGTACTACCTTTAAATAATTTAAATACAATTTTGAGAATACTAAGGCAAGCTTTTTGAATTTTTCTCTCACACATATTTATTATTACAAATACAATACAAAGATTAAAAGCATATGCAAGATTTTATTTGTCTCTATACCTAAAATATTGTTTAAAATTTTAGCATCATACGGATCCAATATTAAAACCGTAATCAAAACTCCCATGAACCTTTAAAGCTAAAATTGTTGAGTTCTAAACTAATAAACAAGCGAAATTTTACCTTCTGTAATTGAAGCCTAAAAGTTGCACGTCCAATATAACATGCAAAACTGGCATCCCTCTATTAATGGTATAATAAATTACTTCAAAAATAAAATAAAGTACTACTTAAAATTATTATTCATTAGTTTGAGAAACAAGTAAATATTTTGAAGAAATTTATAATTGATTAATTGAAATATATATATTGCATGCTATTGTGTCTACTTATTGTATAAACACACTTCAAAGCTCATGGTATTACTGTTAATATTATGTCAACTTTAAATATGTGGGATGGGTGTTGGCCCTGTGCTAAAGTTCTATAATCTATATTTTGGAGCTGGTGAGCCGTGTGCGTTATAAGAGTGACGGTTAATACCTTAGCAAGTAGAAAATCAGGTAGTCAGTTGGGCCAAATTCAAAGTTAAGAAGACTGGCACTAAGATACTGGCTGCCTGTGTAGATTGTCTGTGCCATTTGCACAGGAAGGTATACCTGGCAATTGCCTCTGCAGATTGGGAGGATATCTTGTTCAATAAGCTGCTTGGTAGGTTTCCCAATGACCTTACATGACATCACCTGGGAGTGAGGAACATCATCACTCTTAAACTCCTGTTGGATGCAGCACAAATAGCTCATTAGATAGCTTTGTGGTCAGCAACAAATTTTGTGGCACTGTAAAAAGAACTGACTGTTCTATGCAGCACAACAAAGATAGTAGAGCTATCAGTTCCCGCCAATGGCTCAGCAGATGCTGACTAACTCACAATATCAGCGTTTTACCGAAAAGCAAAATAGACAAGGATATTGACGTTGGCCATTATATCAGCATGTCTGTGAAGAACAGTAAAAAAGTGGTAGATGAAATGTTTTGGAAAATATACGAAGCCCAATTTGGGCTTGGCCACCAGCTTGGGAGAGCACAACAGGCAGCTTGAATCAAACTATTTAGTAATCAGCTCAGCTCTGTCACGCCTGGGTGTTGTTAGGTTTGTGGTGATAAGAGTGCAAGGATGAAAGGTAAATCCCTTGTTGACACAGGAGTAGAATAAACCTTAATATACCTCACAATTTTTCAAGCCGTCTGAGTGAGACCACCATTGGAGTCAGTCAGTAAATATAGACTTTGTTATGATGAATGACGAGGCTAAATGTTAGAAGAAAGATAAATCTCTGGCTTAGTTTCTTAGTCTAGGACGTAGTGCCCACAGAATGAGAATGGTTCTTTATGATTTGGGATAGGCATTATCGGGAAGAACATACTGTGAATTTTGACAGTCAGAATTACCCATTCAATAGATGAGCCGATGTTCTCCGGGAAAGTCATCCAATGCTGCCCATATAAAGCCCAAGAACAGAATAATGCATGAGTGTATGAAGTTAAGGGAATAATATTACCTTCATGTATGCAAATGGTATTCCATTGTATAATATGGACAAGGTCTAATATGTTGTTGCCATGCAGTCTGCTTATAGAAGCCATAGATGAAATAAACTGTTTACTGCCCAAAAGCAGGCAGCGTTAGATCAGGCAGTTCTGGCTTTACCTTGTAAATATGGATGATTGTCTATCCAGATGGAGCTTATAATGGTCATAAGTATGGTAAGTGAAGGTAGAAGTAATCAATGCCAGTAGTAATGCTAAGGTTACATTCACTGCACAATGAGCGAGAGCAAACGCGAGGCTACCAACACACTTGAAGGTGTTGGTTGATGATTGTGCTGACAGTATGGACCCAACACGGCAAAAGAAACTTAATGACATATTAGACAAATACGCTGATCTGTTTATGAGCATATATGGCCAATTGGGATAAACAATGGTGACTCAGCACCATATATTCACAGTTAATAGATGTCTCATAAATTAACAACCAAACCAACATCCTTGGACCACTAGGTAGGTTGCAAGCACTGAAATGCAGTAAATTTTGCACGACAGTCTTACAGCCTTCAGAAAGTGTTTGGTCATCTCCAGTTGGAAAAAGGAAGGTTTTACATTGACTTCTGGTTGGCGAATAAGGTAACTCATGTTAATGCCTTTCTTTTACAGATGAATGGCTGGATGTTCTAGAAGACTCCACCTAGTGTAAAATATTGGTTTTGGTATATGGATATTGGCGAATCGAGCTTGACATTGAGAGCAGATATAAGTTTTCTTTTAGCACAAGAAATGGTATCTATTAATTCCATGTCATGTCATTCAGTCTGTGTAATGCACAAGCTGCATTATTGCAGCTAAAAAAGCTAAATTTCAAGGGACTGGAATAGGAGAGATTCCTAATTGCTGATATGTTTTGATGTTTGGACACACAATTGAGTCTGCATCCGAGGACCTGAAGATGATATTATAGCACATACAAAAGGCAAGCTTGAAATTGAAACCAGGGAAATGTTTGCTCCTGTGAATGGAAGTGGAATTTCTCAGTCAAATTGTAGAGGAGAGATAGAGTTTCGATGGATTTAGCTAAAATAACTATGGTGAGAGATTGTCATTGTCCCTAAAGAAGCGAGAAGTCCACACATTCCCTGGTTTAGCATCATGCTTTAGACAATTTGGGGTTAATTTCTCAAAAATAGCAGCACCAATCTCAGTTTTTATAAAATTTGAAGTGCATTTTGGATGAAGCATGGAATGTCATCAGCCATTTTGATTTCTAAAGCTCCATGGCTTGGGGATTAGGGCGCTCGACTCGCAATCTGAGGGTCTTGGATTTAAATTCCCATCACAAAACCAGTTGTTATGGTGTATAATGTGATGATCAATCCCACTATTCGTTGGTAAAGAATAATCCAAGAGTTGGTGATGGGTGATGTTGACTAGATGCTTTCCCTCTAGTTAATCATTTCTAAATTAGGGATGACTATCACAGATAGCCCTCGTGTAGCTTTGCAGGAAATTCAAAACAAACAATCCCGAACTTTGCTATCTCCATTAGGACTGTAAGTTTCACCAGCAAAAAAGAAGTAATAGCAGTTTTATTGGCATTGCAGAATGGAGTGGAACATCTAATCACATATGCTAGTAATATGTTCACATCTCCCAAATACAGATATCATGGAACAAAGAAAATGCTGCTTGCTGTAACTGTCTTCATAAAACATTATTGGTAGGGAGATCACCATCTGGGTAGACCATGTTTTGCTGAAATTGTAATAAACTTTAAAAAAACAGAAAGAATGATAGCACATTGTGTAATGACATTGCAATAATTTGACTTTGTCATTGTTCATCGCCCAGGCCCAGTACACGGAAACACAGGTGGACTATCTCACCACATGGTGAGACCTTGTCTGCTTGTGGAATGTCCTAATCCTGGTTTATGCCCATACTGAGAGCTGGTCATGAGGTAAATGACTCCATTGAAGGATGGATACCGAAGTTAATGCTTTTGGGAGAAGCATGGGTTAAGCCAGACAGTACTAATAGAAACATTTAGCACCGATACATGTAACCTGTGGCACCTCTACAAACAGTTGGTGCAAGAAGGTGTGCTGTATCATGGCTATCAACCCACAAGGTATGGTGCACAGACAATGCTGCAACCAGTGGTCCCCATAACTCTGCAGCATGAAATACTCCAGAATTTGCACAACACAAAGACTGGAATGCACCAAAATGTAACCTGCTCTTATGCTTGAAAGTAAGTTGAGATATGTAACACTGGTATGAGTGCTGTACAGTGTGTGTCGCCCAGATAAAATAACTCACTGAATAAACTCCAAAAGCGAATTGTTTGGTTTCCTCTGCAGGAGATAATTCTGGAGTCAGCATCAATTAAGAAAGTAGGAAACGCAAATACCCTTTAACAAAGAAAACCCCACACTTTTCCTTACCCCTCTGTTTCAAATATTTTGTGCCAGTTCATCCCTAATTGTTACTGTTTTCTGTTTAGAGTCGTTTGAATATGCTTATGTAAATGAATCCAGTTGTTGATAACAATGGTATAGCATACCTTTCTACACTTATAGATGCTTTACATGTGTCACAGGGTATGTGCAACTGTGCTACACTCCTCAGCCTGTACTGGCCATGTTTCATCATGCTACATGATGAGGAGCATTCATGCCAGTTCTCGCGCCACTTAAGTTGCTCTACCTGGAGCTTCTGAAGGGTTAGTCACAGTATTAAATCATTAGTGGGATTCACTACTATAAAATTTGACATCAGTAATATAAATAGCTTTAACCCTACGCTGTGTTCATGACTAGGATCTGAACCTTCATGAAACGGACAAACCATTAGCATTTCTGTGTTGTGGACCCAGAGAATAAAATATATACTCATACTCCTGTGTGTTGTTATATAATGTACAATTGCCCCTCCCATATTTTTAAATGTATAAGCTACTTCAGTGATATATGATGCACCTGAATGGTGAATTTCTACCATACTACCATACACTATCACATATTCCACTTCATTCTGCAACTGTGATAACACCGCCCTAATTGCACTATCATAAGCATCAGTATCCAACAAGAACTCACAGTTCTTCCATAGATAGGCCAGCAATGGAACTTTCACTAAAGTGTGCTTTAGGAACAGGAATCTTGGAGAAGTTAGTCACAAAGCATTAGTAATACAACATTAAACCAAGAAACTGTGGACTTTTAATATAGTCACAAGTTGAGGCTAGCCTCAAACTATTGCGTTCTTCACATGATCAACAAAGACTGATCTTCTCACAATATGACTGAGAAATTCCATCTATGTGCACAGAAGTGCACACTTTCCTGGCTTCAACTTTAAGCCTGACAATCTCAGCATCAAAATTGAATATGCAGCAAACAACAAGACTTTGCTGGCATAAACAGGAATCCTTCCCATTTTAATCCATTCAATATAAGCTCCATTGATCTCTCAAAAATAGTGGCTGCAATATACAGACCAAATGGCATAATGCAAAACTCATTCAAGCCATCTCGAGTGTTTAAAGTTATGTTAGGTATGCTCTTGTCATCC